TATTGAGGTCCCTTCTGACCCTAACATCTATAAATCTATGAAATAGTTTGTGATCACTTATTTGATTTATCATAATGTTTACACACAAGGGGGGTGAGTTAAGATTCTGGTATTTTCTAACTTGTGTGCAAAACAACAACCTTAATATTTTGATGCATTTGTGTTTGTGTTTACATACATGCATGCACGCATGTTCTCTCTCTGTCTGTCTGTCTCTCTCTCTCTCTTTCTCTCTCATGCACGCACACACGCACACACAGACTTTTACCACACCAATGAAAGGACATTTCTTAAAAGTGACCAATCCAAATGTTTCTATTTGTTGTCAGGAATGTGCTTTCCATTATAATCAAATGCTCAGTATGGCTTGTGGGGGTGTTCCAGGAGCTGCAAGAGCTTGTCATTGCTGAATCTCATCCTGACCAGACATGGAACTTGGATTCAGCCATCGAGAGGCAGATTCTGTTAGGCTACATTGTCATCTCTGCAGAATCATTAACAACAGTATTTGTAGTCTGGGCTGTTTTGTTCAAGTGATTTTGGTGCTTGCAATAATACCACAAGACCCTAAATGTTCTATAGTGTCCTTTTTATGTGAAATTATAAACTCTTTTTTTTTAAAATGCATGTAAAATTGACAATTGTTTATTAAATGGCTACAGAGATTTGTGGGGTAAACAATGAAAACTTTCATCCTATCTCAAGTTCACTCTGGAATTTTTTTCCCCTTTAGCTGTAGAGCGAAACTATATAAATATAGGAAAATCACCCTTCAAGGAAAGGGAATCATTTGATGGCCGAAATATAATGAAGGTCAGTATTGAATTATGTGACTATACCACTAACCAGGTTAATATACCCAATAATTTGAAACACCTCCTTAAAGATATATTTGTCTTATGCTTATGGAAATCTTCTGGCAAAAATCTAGAAAATTAGTCATTGGAAATATTCTAGTATTAGTACAAACCCTGTTAAGTTTGGTGAGATTTTAGAACAAGCAAGGAGGCATTTGGACATGGTGCTTAACAGGCATTTGAGTTGTGGTTGACTGTATTAATGTTTACCCTTGGCTACCTGGTCCCTTATCTTTCCTTAGGCCAGAAGGAAACATTTTGTTGCTCTAGTTTTAGTCTCATTTATGTTCTTGTCAGTAAAACCAACTGTTACATCAGACTTTTTATGTCATCACCATTAGTTACTGCTCAAAAAAAAAAAGAAAAAGAATAGCAGGCAGGCCCTGAAGTCAGGTTTGAGAGCAATTAGAGAAACTGGAATAAGATAACTGACAATGCAGATGAATTAGCCCATGACTCCTGCAGCAGTTAGAGGATGCTGCAGACTGTTTGACCTGGAGGGTGATGCTGAAGTTCTATCTAGAGGATTTCATTTTGCTAATTCTAAGTGGTGGGGCTATAGAAGAAAATAATTAAGACTTTACAATTAGAAATTTGTATCCAGTTTCCATTTTTACTGTGGTAAGGAATGAAGTTTTGAGAGTTGAGAACAAATCATCAGGAGACAGGAAATGGGGCTTGTAGGTTAGTAGGAAAAATATGGAGGAAGTTCTGGCTGTAGACTGAGGAGAAAGAAAATTAAGAGAGGCTGCAGGTAGGCCTGTGCAAAGTGGCTAGTACTTACTTCAGCTTCGGATTCAGATTCAGCCGATTCGGGGAACAGTGATTCAATTTGGTGATTTGAATAGCTGTCCCAAATCGATTCAGCTGAATCTGATTTGGAGATTTGGCTACTGCCAAATCTCTGAATTGCCAAATCACACAGGCCCGTCCCCTGCCCGCTCTTCCAGCCCAACAATGGCTGCCCCGCCTGCTCCAGCTCCTGGCACTTTGAAAAAAAAAAGCCCCTACTCACTGGGTGCTGCCAGGTGGGAGAGCAATTCCCGCTGCCCCCCACTGCCACATGCTGTGTAGGGGGCTCTGCATGAGCCCCCCGACATCCTCCTCTCACTGTCCCAGTCACCCCCATGGCTGCACTGCCTGCCCTAGCTCCAGCTCTTTAAGGAAAAAAAAAAAAAAACTAAAAAACCCCAGGCTCACCAGTTCTTGGTCAGTGGGGGATGATCCCTGCTGCCCTGCACCACGTGGGGAGTTATTCCACACACACCCCTGAAGACCCAAGGCTGCTGCAGAATCTGGTGGGCTGGGACAGTGGGGGGAGGAGACTGGGGGGCTCATGCAGAGCCACCATGCAGCGTGAGGCTGGGGGGCAGCATACGGTGAATAGGGGCTTTTTTTAAAGCACTGGGAGCCGGGGGGGCGGGGGGAGCGGGTGAGAGGCGGGGG